GCTCAGCGTCAGTCAGAATTTGCTGTGTTCTTAAATCAGAGAAATTCGGCCAGTTCATCTCCCAATTTAGTTTATATATCTATACATGCCTTGCCTTGTAGTTCCCACCCATCCGTGTTTATAAAGTGTGCATTAGAGATCTAGATCTATATATATATGCATTGCAGAAATTACACAATCAGCATCTTCTTGTATAAAAAAGGGAAAGTTAATCAAAATTAGGGAATGCAATTCAACTCAATTACATTTTTAAACAATGTATCCATCTGTATTCAATGACTCTAAGTCTAAGTGTAAACTGTTAAAACATCAAACGGACCATAGTATAGTATAGTGGGATCATGTGAAATTTTCCTGTCGCAGTAAAATATTACATGAAATAGTAAATTAGTATTGTAGACTAATTGAACACCCAGTCGTGATTTCTTGCTCTTATTAGTCTTATTTTATTTTTCTATCATAGTCATGTGTATCAATGTTGACCTGTTAGATCAAGACCAAGGCCTTAGCCTTAGGCCAACTGCAACTGTCTAGATCTAGACTCTAGATCTATATATATATTATCGACACTGTAGGCATAGGTTACAGTCTATCGACACGAACACACAATGATAAATATGATTTTCTCAAATACTATGTTCCTGATGAAGCCTTATTGGCGAAACGTTAAACTGTGAAATATATAGATCTAGATCTATTTTTTTGGGGAAATACAACAAGGTCTTAAACTGTTTTAATACCTTCTTTATACAATGATGATGATGATGATGATGATGATGATGATGATGATGATGATGATGGTGATGATGATGATTGCCAGATCTAATCTAGGCCTAGATCTAGATTCTATTTATAATTTGGGTATACCATAATTTGTTTCCTCAAAATCGAAAGATGTGTTTTAACTTTATTTTATGGGGCCTTAGTAGATTCTATTAGTATTAGTAATGCTTTTTCTCGAGAAATCTTGGCTATTTGTTTCCCGATTCTTACTTAAATCTTATAATATCTAGATCTACGCTGTCTTGGTTCTGACATCTAGATTCTAGATGATCTAGATCTAGATAATCTAGATTTAAATCTAACTAGAGTCTACATCTCAAAAAATCTTCAAAACCTTACTAAGTCTTGACCTCTTACCGTAGTTGGATCTTTCAGAGAAGTTCTATTCCGCCCCGAACCGGAGGGAGCTTCAGCATTCAATAAGTGAAAAAATAGAACGACAATCCTGTTTCAGGAAGCGGAAAAAATAGATATGACGTAGTTGGTAGTTATTTATAGACAAAGCTCTCTTACGTGTCTGTTCATAACGGGAAGTCCCGTTCCGTTTCGAAAACAAAACCACCATAATATTAAAGATTATTATATAATACTATACCGTCGAAAAGGAAGGCCCAGGCCTTGGCTAACCCAGAAGCCGGAAAATCTTTGGGCAAATCCCTCGAAAACTTGCTCATGCTGAATCCGGCAAAGATTGGGAAAACCGAAGATTCTATTGCAGTTACACCGACGAGTAACCTTAATAATATAAAAAAATCGCGTCTTTGGTCATTTCATTGGACAAAAAAAGATTAATAGTTTATATAGTGCTTGAAGTGAGGATCAGAAGTGATGACATTCAATTTACTTCAGGGGGTGTAAAACATATGTATGTTTAGGTAGGCCTACCATTTTTTTAACGGGTTAAAGGGACAGCTGCCTTTGTGGATTGCGATGTTTGTGATTATTTCAGGTCGCTTGCGATCACATTGATGAGTTGTACACGTATTGGTAGTGTACTTTCTTTCGTTTTCTCTTCACCACGTTATAGCTAATATATAATAGTAATAATAATAATAGTAATAATAATTATAATAATAATAATAATAATAATAATAATAATGATAATGATAATGATAATGATACAAAATTGCATTTACATAGCACATGTCCACAAAGAAGTGCTCAATGCGCTGTACAATAATAACACATTTAAGAACGTATGCAGCGCACAGCTCCGATAGTAATCTCTCTCTCTCTCTCTCTCTCTCTCTCTCTCTCTCTCTCTCTCTCTCTCTCTCTCTCTCTCTCTGTTCACTTGTCTTTATTTGGATTGAAAAAAATATCCATATATCTTGAATACAGGTCGAGATATTTGCGAAAAAGGGAGATGGGGGTCTCCTGTTTTCAGAGGTAAAATTTGTGAGAAAATGACCACTAAAGAATAGTTATTTCCATAGCTTTAGAGTCCGTGGTAACTGAAAATTTACATTTTTTTGTGCCTTTAATCAACGTTTTTCAGAAAAATACACACAGAAATGGGTTCTTTAATGGGCATGTAAGGTGCATGTAATCCTATTATATGGGTGCGAAGCATGGGCAATCAATAAACAGCTGGAAAAAAACAATTGTTACGGCAGAGTTGTGGTTCATGAGACGCATGCTACGTATCCCATGGACAGCTAGAAAAACAAATGAAGAAGTCCTGGTTGAAGCAAATTATAGAAAACAACTTATCACGAATATAAGAAAACGACAGGCAAATTTTTTCGGACACACAATGCGGAAAGAAGCATTAGAGAACATTGTAACAACAGGAAAGTTTGATGGAAAGAGAGGTAGAGGCAGACAGAGGGAAAAGATACTGGACAAGATGACAACATGGCTGGGAGCAGCAAGAACAACAGACACCATTGCTGCTTCGAAAGACAGAGGGAAGTGGAGGTCCATGATCGCCCACGCCAGTCGGCAAGGCACCGGATGATGATGAAGGTGTAGAGCCAAAAAACAAAAATTTGATAAAAATTGACAAACCTGCGGAAAAATGCCAGTTTCTTCACTTTGATTATTTTGACGAGAGCCTGATTTCACCACGCTGCCTCACAATTGTCATTGATTTTGTGTCAACTTTTAGAACACTTCAGATGTTGACGAGATGTTCTACACTCCAACAGTAATGATATTATGATGTCGTGGGTTATTGCCTTGTTGCTATGGTTACTGTGATACCAAACAAACATTATGTTATTCTTCAATCTATGAGGGAGGTGAACCTTTATCGTGTTCTGAGCTTTGTCCACAGATCTTGGTTCTCTGGCAGAAGGAAGGGAGGGTACTATGTAATCTTATGAAGCAAACACATTAATAAGTTGTCTCTCTTTTGACAATCTCGGACAAAAGTTCTGGAGTAAAAGAAACTTGGTCGTTTTCAAGGACAAACGGGCCAACCCAGATTCCGGGGGTTTCCAGAAATCTTGACCTACACCAAAAGTGGGCATTACCCTAGCTATAGGAGAAGTTTGGTTTCGTTGGTGTATATATTTGTTTGGTTATAGAGAAAACTCTCCTTGTCTTTTAAAGAAACTGAACAAGGGGCAAAAACTTTACCTTCGATTTTGTTTTAGTGAGTGTCTGCACCGATTTCTATCAAACCTTAACCAGTACTTTTAAGTCTTTGATTAGCTAGCTATGTTTTTGTTTCTTCTCTTTGCTGAATAGTAATTTCTTGAGTCCAAAAAATGTGCATCTGTCTTGATGTGGGTCTCCGTCTGTGCTGGTGCTGTGCAGCAATGTGGCCACCACTGCTTCTCACATTAGCAGTGGAAAGAGTTGAACGTCGGTGGCCTAGTGGTTAGGCTCTCGGACTCGCAACCGTAAGGTTGTGGGTTCGAATCCCGTCAGGGGCCCGACGTTGTGTCCTTGGGAAAGGCACTTTGCACAAATTTTCCTCACTTCACCCAGGTGGAAATGGGTACCCGGCTATAGACAGCGAAAGATCTTTTCAGTTTGATAGTGTTTGAGCGCGTGAAATCCGCAGCTTGCATTGTATGCTTCCTCGGAAGCTGAGAATGTTTCTGAGTGTTCTCAGAGGGTCTGCTGGGGTAATAATAGTTGTAAAGCGCATAGAGCATGCTCTTGAGCATGGATATGCGCTATAGAAATGCAATTATTATTAATTATTATAACGACCTCAGAGGTTTTGTGTAATAGGACTGGAGACATCCAATCTTCTCCTGGTAGAAAAAATTAGAAGAGAAAAAAATCTGACCCCCCCCCCCCCCCCCCCCCATGGGAATGAGTATTTTAGTGTTTTGTTTTCCTCTACAGACAGAAGCTGGTATCGCATTCAATGGCAAGTAAATTACATCGTAATTGCAGACTAAAAACACATTTAAACACCCAAGGCATAAGGGAATTATTTATGCAGACCCCAAGCACAAGAATTCAGCTGAGTGTCCAATTTCATTTATAACAAAATATGATTAGACCCAGTTTATGAATTCTAGTATCACTAAAAGGAAAATATTTCTAAAAATACCCCGAAAAATGTGGCTGAATGCGGATCTGCGATTCGTTTTATGAACTGCATCTAATGAAGCAGTATCTCTCTTTCCCCTTTTTTACCTCCCAGTGGAGCACAGGCCATCAACAACATTACTCCAGCGAAGCCTGTCCTGAGCATCCTTTTCTATCTGTTTCTCCATCTTCCAGAACTGGCGGTCGTATTGTTTTTGCTGTTGATGTTTTTGTAGCTGCTTTTTGTTTTATGGAAAAGGGCTGCTAACACTTTGCCCAACCGACCTTAGTCGCCTTGTACGACATGCGCGGTACAGATACAGTTGTCCTATTCTTTGCTCCCCTGTCTCTTGGACAGGGCCCCGAGAACCACACGGGTGAATGAAGCAGTATGCTAAATGTAAAATATCATGGTCCTCGAGCTTCACAAGACATGAAAAGCACCGTAGGTCCCAGGAGGACTTGCTTCCTTCGCAGTTAAAAAAAATGAACAGCATCCATCATCTACATCTAGGTCACAAAGTGGCTAAGTTTTGCTTGTGGGGAACAGCACAATAATTGTTGATGGATGGGACTTTGAAAATTAGGGGATAGTCAAGTGAAATATTTTATCCTCAAATACGGTACCTGAGTCAGTACCAAAGGCTCTCTCTCTCTCTCTCTCTCTCTCTCTCTCTCTCTCTCTCTCTCTCTCTCTCTCTCTCTCTCTCTCCAAACGTTACACCTCTCTCTTCCTCGATGGCTCCAGGATCCCAGATTTCGCAAGGTACAGAGCTGAGACGGAAATGATATGATATTTTAAAAAAAACTGGTTTCATTTATAGAACCATTCTTTCACCCTTGGAAGTCGTATTTTTTTCAAGCCAACAAAGTCAGGCTTACAAAGCTCAACAGTAAAGAAAACAAAGCTAAACAGGCAGTATTCTATCATCAAACTATTAGTACATTTTCAATAACAGTACTTTTACCGGTGTCAGCTGCTGACAAAAGAGTTGAAGAACGGTTGATGAGCCTAAATAGGCTTAGGCCTAAATGGAAAGGGGAAGGTGGTATGTGAGGCAGCGTGGTGGAATCAGGCACTCGCCAAAATACTCAAAGAGAAGAAACTTGCATTTTTCAGCAGGTTTGTGAATTTTTATCAAATTTTTGTTTTTTGGCTCAACACCTTTCATGCTCATTAAAGAATTCATTTCTGTGTGGATTTTTATGAAAAACTTTGATTAAAGGCACAAAAAATATCAATTTTCAGTTACCACGGACTCTTAAGCTAAGGAAATAACTAATCTTTGGCGGCCATTTTCTCACTAATTTTACCTCTGAAAACAGGTGACCCCACCTCCTTCTTTTGCACTTATCTCGACTTGTATTCAAGATAAATGGATATTTTTTTAATCCTAATAAAGGCGAGTGAAAAAGCTTTAAAATGATATCAATAACTCTACATGCCCAAAAATTGACGAGAGCCTGATTCCACCACGCTGCCTCACATATTATCTCTCACACTAATACTAAACTGTAATCTGAATGTGATGTGAATCAGATCAGTATCAATAAACGTGCAGTTCTTGTTTGCTTTTTACTTCTCTTCACGTGAACTGAACAAGACATTGTTTTCAATGAACTAATCACTCTATTTGTGCGAGTTCGGGAGTTTCGAGCCTCAGCTCGGTCCGACGTTGTGTCCTTGGGAATTTCCCACTTGGCTCGGTCCTTTAGGAGATGGACGTTAAACTCGGAGGTCTCGCCTCTTAAATAACCTAATAGTGTTGATAGGGCCGTTAAACCTATACTATGTCCTGTCACCAGGTGCGGTTCGTCCATAGAGCACGGTCGTGAAGTGCCGCCCAAATTTTTTAATGTTCTATAACGAAAAGCATCCACAAACATGAAATAAAAGAAGTCAGAAACAAACACTAGACAAATATAATA